GAGCTCACCAAGGCCAGCTGGACTGCGACTGAAAAAGCATGGGATAAAACCGGACTCTCTGAATATGGCGGACAATGAGGGCTGCTGAGAAGCCAAGGACAATGCCACTGGGTTTTGATCCTACTTCATGTTCTGGCTTTGTGGGAGCCTAGCCAGTTTGGATGTCCACCTTCCTAGACCAGGATGGAGCAGGGAGGACTTTGGACTTTCCACAGGGCAGGGAACCCTGACTGCCCTTCAGACTGGAGAGGGAGGGGGAGAGGAGTGGGGGAGGGGCGAGGAGAGGGAAGAGGGGGAGGGAAAAGGGAGACGAGGAGGGAAATGGGAGGCGGGGAGGAGGCGGAAAATTTTTTTTCAATAAAAAATTATATTAAAAATAAATAAATAATAATTTAAAAAAAGTATGTGCAAGGTTTTCTTTTGGGACATTTGAGCAAACCCTCTCTAGGGAAGAGAAACTGATATCTGGGTAGAGCTTACGTAGCTGTGTGGCCACCCCCTCACCTCTCCTCCCCCACTCCTGCCCAGTTCCCAGGATGGTAGGCAGCATATTGATTCTCATCAGGTTCTGACGTTTGGTACTTAGAGTATCAGAGCACCTGCCTGTGGTCTTGGAACTATACCACCCTCAGGTCAGAAAGAAAACCCTTCCCACCTTGGGATGGCTAACTGTGACAGTCAACTTCAAATTTAAAATCACCGTGGCAACACATCTCTGGGTATGTCTATGAGAGAGTTTAACTAAGGAGTGGAGAGCCACGCTGAATGTGGTATCACAAGGCAGGAGTCCCAGACTGAAGTGAAAACACAACGCTCATTGATGCAACGACATCCATCGCCTTCTGGTTCCTCACTGTAGAGGCAACATGGCTAGCTGTCTCACACACTGTTGCCATGAAGGAAGTTTCTAGCGGGCTAGCTCACAATTCCAGTTCCTTCTAGAAGGCCCACCCTTCCCACGGTATTACAAGAGGAAACAGGAGATGACCTCCCCACCCCAATGGAGGTGAGAGCCAGAACGCAAGGACATGCTGAGGGCCATCTGGGGCTCTCTGTGTATCCACCATCACTAGCCACTATGAATCAAGGAGGGCCAGAAGTTTCCATTGAGAAACCACAGAAAGTAATGTGTCTAAAGCCTGGTCAGCAACTGAGTCAAAGAGAAAACAGCTTCTGAGGGAACTGGTCCCAGCGTAGCCACTTCACCCGACAGAGAAAGCCTCAGAGCAAAGTGCTGGTATTGAGGTCTCTCCTGTCTAGTTTCCTGTGGTCTCACACACAGCCGGTAGCTGATCTTGAAGGTTTTCTCCTCTTTTTAGTAAGCATCTACTTCAAACATCGGAATAATGCTATTGACAAAAATGCCAGACTTGGAAATGGAGGTAAGAGAGATGTTTAGTGACAATGAGGACCTTCTAGAGTTAGATCACACTCCTCTTGAACACAGGCAGTTTTTAGAAACCACCGTAATAACTGATGTGAATTTATCCACCATGCATTTGGATGTAAGAAATGTCTCAAGTGTTTATCTACAAGATCAGCATGCAGGGACCTTGCCCACCTGTGAGTTACATATGTTGTATTAGTCATAATTCAGATGTGCTTTGCCATTTTGACAGGCTGCCATTGTGAACTCAGATATACTTAAGAGACTGCAAGCATCCTGCATGCCAGCCCAGAGGCAACTCAGTGCAGGGGTTGAGGCCTTTGGATCCAAGAAGGCAAACATTGCTGCCTAGATATTTGTTTTTCGGGAGTTTCCGCAGAGGCCCAGGGATGCACTCATGAAGACACAGGCCGTTATGTGGAAGATGTAGCTGAGGGGTTGCACATTAGCTTAGTATACTTGGGGCTATGGCTTCAGTCCTCAGCACTGCAACAGAAAGGGGGGGACGGAGGGAAGAAAGGAGAAAGGGGTGGGTCAGCTAAGGAACGAAAAAGACTCCAGCTTTTAGACCAGCTCCCTGAAGCAGGTTCCCTACCCAGGGAGATGCATCTACTCCACAAATCTGTTCTCAGCTCTCTCTCCTCGGGGAACCAGCTCCCTTGTTCCACTCTCGAGTCTCCGGGTTCTGAGGGTGCTTTTCTGATTCATCTTTCACCTTTGGCCCCCGCAACAAAGAAACTGAAAGTTTGGGGCCAGGAAGCCTAAAAGTTCGACTTCCCCCGGGCTGGAGGCTAGGAGAGGGAGGTAAGTAAACATGGCGGGAAGAACGCAGTGCTTTCTCCATAAACCTCCTTGCCATACTGACCCGGAAGCAGTCAGTGTTGGGAGCAGATGCCAAAACACTTTGGAAAGAGAATTCCTCCCCCACTTTTTGAAGGCGAAAGTGTGAGTGTTGAGCAAAGGGCAGGCCGCAGAAAGGGAAACAGGGTGGAATGGCGCAGTAAGAGGAGAGGAAGTGTGCTCCAGAACTCCTTGGACTGCGGAATAGCTTCGTCCCCAGAGAGATGATCTGTATGGGCCACTGAGCTTCCGACGTTCTCCACAACCTCATGCATGGAAAGAAAAGCTTGGTGGCCTCACAACTCTCTTCCTAGCCAGGGCCTCCGCTGCTCTTCTTCCCAGCATTCCTCCTGCACCTGCTTCCTTCCGTCTCACCTCTGACCTCATGTTTAGACTCTTGGCTTCACTCCTGAGTTCATCTTGCCTTTCCCTGCTCCCTCACATAGGAATCAAATGCTGGTCTTCTCTTTCCTTGTACCGAAGACCCAGGTCCTTCCAGCTAACCCTGACTGGCACCAAAATGCACATAGTAGATAAATGTACATGTTGTCTCAGGAGCCCAGTCAGGGCATCTCGATGCCAGCTCCGGACCATCTGGATCTGACATGACAGTTTAGTTTGCTGGAACTTTCTGTGGTCTCACTTCATCCTTCCCCTTCCCAGGAACTTTGGGCGACTGGCCATTCAGCAATTACAATGTCTCCTTGCTCCGATGAGGGAGAGAGCAGAAGTCACTTAACTGTCTGTCTCAGTCCAAGTATGATGTACTCATCACAAACGGTACTGCTTGCCCCTAAGGCTGATAGCACCCTCTAGTGATGGACTAACTGGAGGCAAGAACACTTATAACAGTGAATTACTAATATTGTCCTTATTTTTGTATTTAGCCTATGTGTTCTATTTATATTCATAATTTAACTTTGCATAAATCCACAGAAGAAAGCATGATTATCAACATCATTTACCATTTTACAGATAAAAAAAAAACAGACACAGAGAGGTAAAGCCACTTGTCTATCTCATAGCTCATCAGAAGCACAGTCAGGTTCCAGGGACAAAAGACAGCTGCCCCTCACTGCTAAAGCCCTCCATTCCTCCTCCAGAGGAATTGGTTCTGGGCAAGATGTACTACAGGCCTGCAGGTGGTGGTGTGGGCCTCCTTCCTCATCCTACGCTGAGCAGGTGAGATGCCACGTCCACAGCAGTGACTGCCGTGTAGTGACAAAATGCCTCTGCATTGGCTTTCGCCTGCTGAAGGATTGGGGTTAGAGCTTCCTGGAGCGAAGCCCCAGGTGGTCCCCTGGCAATCAGTGGTCAAGATAGGACCTGATGCCTTAGGCAGATCTCGTATCTGGAAATGGCCTTGAGAGCGAGCCCTCCTGGCACCCTGCACGATCTTTCTCTGTATTTCTTATCTTTCCTGTTTTCAGCTGACCGCTCACCAAGAAATCAAAGTATGTCCTTGGCTCGGCCCCACCGTTCTTTAAGCAGTCCTTGAGGAACTGAAGCATGCCCCACGCCACATGAGCCTTAGAAACTTTATTAATAATAAAACAGAAGAATAAAAGACTATATAGACAAAAGCTAGACCCAGGACTCTGAGAACTAGTCCCCCACGGTAGAATATGGTTAGTGGTGTGAGACAGAATTCTAAGAGACAAAACTAAAAGTCCTTGCCAACACCTTGAGCACGTAGAAGGAGTTCTATTTTGATTATGCTTAGCCTTGATTTATGTCTGGAACCCTGAATGGGGTGATGCAGTGAGCCTGCCAAGTTCTTTGATCTGTTTTGTACATAAACTGAAGCTTTGCAGAAGTAAAATTGCAGCAGATTTTCACTACCAGTGTGTCTGTCTGTCATTCCCTTGCGTCGTATCCTGGCTATCCTATCCTTCACCCTGTTCTCCCGTGGATAGTGGTCTCCAAGAGGGACGGTCCGCGGCAGGTGGCGCTCGGAACAGGGACGTGAAGGATAGGTAAGCTTTTCCCCCTTCTCTTTTTCTTTCCAATAGTCAGGAACGACTCTCACCAGGACGCTGCAGGTCCGCCGGTAAAGGATCACCGGTTAAGTGTGAGTAATCTAAGTATAAGGGAACCATGGGGCAACATATGACTAAGAGCGATAAAATGATGGTAATTATGCTGCGGCGACAGTTAGCCAAAGCAGGATTTCAGGTCGCAGAAGACGACATGGTAACTTTTACCAAGTTCCTGAAAAAGGTCAGCCCTTGGTTCACGGAGGAAGGGACCTTATCGCTAGATGAATGGAAGCGTGTGGGTAAGGAAATGAGGCGCTATGTGCGTGAGAATGGGGAAAAAACTTTACCTACCTATGCTTATCAAATATGGTTTCAGATCCGAGAACTGCTGTCGGAAATTTCCCCCTTTGAAGGCTTGTGTCGTGACACTGCCTCTGAAACGGGAGCTGCTTCTCCTATCTATAGTGAAGTTGGGGAAGAGGAGGGGGACGTGGAAGAAAAGAGACCATTAAAACCTTCTGCTCCCCCCTTCGCCTCATCTCATCAGCCCTTAGCAAGGAATGATCTTGATGGCGACTGGGGTCTGGATGATCAGCAGGAGGAAACAGAATGGGAGGATGATTTTAGAGACCACACTGATCCTCCAGTAAGGGCAGCAATTGGGAATATCACAAAAGGAAAACCTGTTCCAAAGCCACGCAGCCGCCCCCTACCTCCTGTAGGTTTTCAGGGAGCGCTGGCTGAGGCACGTAAAACAGGTGATACTTCCTTGGGGATATTTCCTGTTACAGAAATTGGAGATAACGATGAGCCCATATGGGAGCCTATGCCCCTTAAAACTCTTAAAGAATTGCAAAGTGCTGTTAAAAGTCTGGGGCCTTCTGCCCCCTATACCTTACAGGTTTTGGATATGGTCGCAAGCCTTTGGCTCACTCCTCATGACTGGATGCAAACTGCCAAAGCCACATTAAGTCCAGGAGATTACATTCTCTGGCGTACTGAATATGAAGATAAATGTAAAGATTCTATAGTTCAATCTATAAAGAAGAGAGGCCCTAAGCCAACAATGTCCATGTTGATGGGCACAGATGACTATGCTCTTCCCCAAGATCAGGTAAAAATCCCACGTGATATATTGACAATAATAACTGGTAATGCCGTTTTGGCATGGCGCAAGCTCCCACCTCCCGGAACCAAGGGTGGAGCATTGGCTAGCATTAGGCAAAAGAATGAAGAATCCTATCAGGACTTTATTTCCAGGTTAGAGGAGGCAGTCACCAGAATGCTGCCTCCTTCGGAAGGAACAGATATGCTATTGAAACAATTAGCATGGGAAAATGCCAATGCTCTTTGTCAAGATCTTATTCGACCTCTAAGACAGACAGGGACATTAAATGATTTTATTAAAGCATGTATGGATGCCTCACCAGCGGTCGTTCAAGGAATGGCCTATGCAGCTGCAATGAAAGGACAGAGATTTAGCGCCTATGTAAAAAAGACATATGGAGGGGGTGCAAAAGGCATCACCACTCCTACTTGTTATAATTGTGGAAAACCTGGGCACATTCAAAGGGATTGCAAGAAATCCAAAAGCTCAGGACGAAAAAGTTTACCGGGCATATGTCCTCGGTGCAAAAAGGGAAAACATTGGAGTAATGAGTGTAACTCAAAATATCATAAAGATGGTTCACCTCTCACTAAAGAAGGAGAGGAAGAACCTAAAGAGTCAAAAAACTAGAACAGGGGTGTTCTCCTAACCCGACACCCAAGGGAGAAGAAGGTTCTCCGTCCCAGGGCATGTTAAACCCTGAGGCATCAGAATTCACTATTCATGATTTGCCTAGAGCTACTCCAGGAAGTGCTGGACTAGATCTAGCAAGCTCAGAGGACTTGCTCCTCTCCAAATGGGATGGAGTGGCCTTAGTTCCTACTAAGGTTTCTGGGACACTCCTCCCTCAGACAGTGGGACTAATCATAGGGCGAAGCTCTAACTACCAGAAGAACTTTGAGGTTCTTCCAGGAATAATTGATGCAGATACCCAAAATGACATTAAAGTGATGCTTCGGCCCTTGGCTGAAACTATACAAATACACAAAGGACAACGTATAGCACAGTTATTGCTATTACCATACATTAATTTACCCAATAAAATATTAAAAGAACAAAGAGGTGAAGGGCAGTTTGGATCTACTGAAGGGATCTTCTGGGTTAAGGAACTCAATGAGAGACCATTTAAAACTATTAAAATAAATGGTAAAAAGATAAGGGGTCTCATGGATACTGGGGCTGACAGGACATGTATTTCTAGCAGGGACTGGCCAAACTCTTGGCCGATACATAAGACGGGATCATCTTTGCTTGGATTGGGATCAGCCTCAGGAGTTATGCAAAGTTCCATGATTCTTAAGTGGGAAGATGAAGGAAAAACAGGACATATCCAACCATATGTTTTACCCTCCTTACCATTCACACTCTGGGGGAGAGATTTGCTGGATTCCATGAATGTTAAACTGGTTACTTCAGATAACCTTAATGAGCAGTATTTTACATAGGGGCCACTGCGGAAAAATTATATGCAGATAAAATAGAATGGCTGACTCAAGAGCCGGTTTGGGTGAGTCAGTGGCCCCTAACAGAAGAAAAAATACAGGCTCTTGAGCAGCTGGTGCAAGAACAACTAAACAAGGGTCATATAGTAGAATCCAACAGTCCCTGGAATACTCCTGTATTTGTTATAAAGAAAAAGTCGGGAAAATGGAGATTGTTACAGGATCTCCGAGCCGTAAATGCAGTCATGAAGGATATGGGGCCCTTGCAACCTGGGCTTCCATCACCAGTAGCCATACCTCAAGAATGGAAGATTATTATTATAGATTTGCAGGATTGCTTTTTTACCATTTCCTTGCATCCTGAAGATAGTGAACGTTTTGCCTTTAGTGTACCTTCAGTGAATTTTAGGCAGCCTTTTAAAAGATATCAATGGGTCACCTTGCCTCAAGGGATGAAGAATTCTCCAACATTGTGTCAGAAATTCGTAGCTCAGGCCCTGCAGGAGGTCAGGCAGGAATTTAAGGAAGCCTATATAATGCATTACATGGATGATATCCTTCTGGCTCATCCAGAACAAAGGACAGTTGAAAAAATTTTAACACAAGCCATTTATAAATTAACCCAGTATGGACTTGTTATTGCCCCTGATAAAGTTCAGCGTGACAGACCATTGAGCTACTTAGGACAAACTATAGGCACTAATTATATTAGTTCACAAAAATTGTCAATTCGAAGAGATAAATTGAAAACATTAAATGATTTTCAAAGGCTGTTAGGAGATATCAATTGGCTAAGACCTTATTTAAAAATTACCACTGGGACTTTAAGCCCTCTTTATTCTATACTTCATGGGGACGCAAATCCTAAGTCGCCTAGGCAATTAACCCAAGAAGCATTAAATGCATTACATATTGTTGAGGAAGCCATTGCCTGTGCCAGGGTTCACCAAATAAATTATCAAGATAGATGGGGCCTGCTGGTGTTTCCAACCGCTTATACTCCCACTGCCTGTTTGTGGCAACACGGAGTATTGGAATGGTTACATTTACCACATACTCAGGCAAAAATGTTGGCTGACTTTCCTTATTTGTGCTCCCTTTTAATTATAAAAGGTAGAATTAGATCTAGAGAACTATTTGGACGAGAGCCACATTTTATAATAACTCCTTATAAGAAGGCTCAAGTAGACTTATTATTACAAAATAATGAAGATTGGATTTTGGCTTTACAAAATTATACAGGTCAGATAGAATATCACTACCCCAAACATCCTCTCATAGAATTTGCTAAGACCGTGGAAATTGTGTTTCCTATCTGGTATTCATCAGAACCTCTAGATCAAGCGATATTAATCTTCACAGATGGTTCTTCCACTGGAAGGGCTGCAGTTTATACATATCATCATGGCTCATACTGGGAAGAAGGAGAGCAGACTTCTGCCCAGCAGACTGAAATAAGAGCAGTAATTTTAGCCTTCATGACATTTCAGCAGCCTTTTAATTTATACACAGATTCTAAATATGTAGTTAATTTGTTTCCAGCATTGGAAACTGCCCTTTTGTCAGGGAAATCACCTATATTACCTTTGTTACAAAGATTACAAATGCTTGTACACCAAAGGAAAGAGAAGTTTTTCATAGGCCACATACGTGGTCATTCAGGTCTTCCAGGCCCTCTAGCACAGGGAAATACTATGGCTGATTTATTAACTCGGTCTCAAGGTGTCTTTTCAATGCAAGAAGCACAAGAGAGTCATGCCTTACATCATCAGAATGCAAAGGCTTTGAAACAAATGTTTCATATTACCAGAGAACAAGCTAGGCAAATAGTAAAGCAATGCCAGCATTGCCCAGTTGCCTACCATCCCTTAAAAATGGGAGTGAACCCTAGAGGTTTAAAGGCTAATGTTATTTGGCAAATGGATGTGACTCATGTTCCATCCTTTGGAAAATTGTGTTATGTCCATGTGGTCATAGACACTTATTCTCATTTCATACATGCTTCAGCCCGAACAGGGGAAGCTGTAAAAGATGTGATTCAGCATCTTATTCAGAGTTTTCAAGTAATGGGTATTCCCTCACAGATCAAGACAGATAATGGGCCAGCATATACTGCCAAAGCATTTGAGCAGTTTTGTATGCAGTGGCATATTCAACATGTCACAGGAATCCCTTACAATCCACAAGGACAAGGGATTATTGAAAGGGCCCATCAAACCTTGAAGATGCAAATACAGAGGCTACAGCAAGCCAACAAGTATTATACTCCTCATCATGTGTTGTCACACAGTTTATTTACATTAAATCATTTAAATATAAATGATCAACAAAATAGTGCTGCAATAAGGCACTGGAACAAGGATAGAAGACAATCTCCATTGCCACTAGTAATGTGGAAAGATCTCCTTTCCGGCCTCTGGAAGGGGCCGGATGTTCTAATCACCTCGGGACGAGGGTATGCTTGTGTGTTTCCACAGAATGCCGACTCCCCCATCTGGATCCCAGATCGCCTCATCCGACCTGCTGTTGCAAAGCAGAAGAAGGAAAAGACGGTGGCGGAAGCAGAAAAAGCAGCTCCAGCAGCAAATGAAGAAAATGAAACTAAGCCGGCCCACGGCAGAAATAACATGGACGAAGATTCGTCATCTGACACGAGAAGCGAAACAGCTGCTCACTGAACAAGGAAAATCCCTGACAGCGTCTATGTATTTCCTCGCCTTTTTGGCCATTATCTCTGCTCCCCAAAGGGTGGAGGGAGTTTCCTACTGGGCGTATGTCCCGAATCCCCCTATCTTGCAACCCGTGGGGTGGTTAGATCCTGAGCCTTTGAAAGTGTTAACCAATGATTCAGTGAGAATGGGTGGTGCTCAGGATTCTGACGCACGAACTGGTTTGTCCTCTCTTATAACCTTTGAGGGAAGGGCAGACTCGCTTCCGATCTGCATTTCGCTTCAAGGGAGAGTGCCTTCGGGTTGCCTGAGTACACGCTACAGTACTTTTCTCACTGACGGGCCAGACAAAGAGAATGCAGGTAGGAGATGGATGTGGGAGATTCAGATGCAGACCTTGGGAAATCCTAATTATCATGACAACTTTACGAAAGTTCATGATCTACCTATAGATCCCTGTATAGGAAAATATAGAGACAAGAATCAATTTTGGGACTCTTCTTTGTCTAAGTTTCCTACATGGCTAGCTTGTGGCTTTTCGGATTCTGCGATGTGGGTTAGGCCTGTTGATTATGATTATGAGATATGGGACTATTCAAATTCTAATTCAGGGGTTAAAAGGAGCAATGGCAAAGGACTTTATGAAGATTACATTGATACCCATAAAGACAAGTACCACAATTATGCGTGGACTGGATTAGGAGAGCCACTTAGGCGATGGTTTTCTCCAGGATTTGTAGAACCCTACTGGTTTGCAAAACATGAAAATAAGACAAGGAAACATACTGATCTTTTTAGACTGGTTGCTGCAGCCAATATGTTTCTGGAAAAGAAGCCCAATCATACAAAATCTGAACCTGTCGGACTGAAAGCCTGTATAGCATATCCTAATGCATTGCTGTTAGCTCAGGCAACTTTTGTGAATATTTCTCAGGAAGGGAAGTCGTATAAAATAGTTTGTCATTCCTGTAAATTGACCAATTGTATAACATCGGCAGAACAAAAAGAGTTAGGTACTATGATCATTGTTAGACGCCCTCCTTTTGTGATGTTGCCTGTAGATTTGGGGAATGATCCCTGGTATGATAATTCTGCTATGCAGGTTTTAAACACTCTAAATGAGTTGATTAGGCCAAAGCGATTTGTAGCAGTATTAATTTTGGGAATTACAACATTAATTTCTATATTAACCACCTTTGCTATGGCTACTACAGCCCTGGTGCAGGAAATTCATACTGCCCATTATGTGAATGCTTTGAATAAAAATATTACTTCAGCATTATTAGAACAAGAAGCTATAGATAAGAAGTTGGAAGCAAAATTAAATGTGCTAGAGGAAGTAGTGCTCGTTCTTGGTCAGGACATTGCTAATTTAAAAACAACTCTATCAACACGTTGTCACGATGATTTTAAATCAATCTGTGTCACACCACTACCTTATAACACTTCACAGCCATGGGATAAAGTTAAGGCTCACCTACAGGGATTGTGGCGGGATAACGATATTACTCATGATCTAGCCGCATTACAAAAGGATATTTCTGCTATGAGTCAATCTCATTTACAATTAGGGGGACTGCAAGATTTGGCTTCGCAATTGGAACGTGGACTTAAGAGCCTTAATCCCTTAGATTGGGTGCAGTACTTTGTATTCATTGGAGTAATTATACTCTTGATAGTATTGGTCATCTTTTTATTCCCCTGTCTCTTAAAGTGCTTATTTTCTTCATTACAGGCAGTGAAACAGGAGGTGTTCGAGCTTCATTTTAAAAATAAAAAAGGGAGACCTGCCACGTCCACAGCAGTGACTGCCGTGTAGTGACAAAATGCCTCTGCGCTGGCTTTCGCCTGCTGAAGGATTGGGGTTAGAGCTTCCTGGAGCGAAGCCCCAGGTGGTCCCCTGGCAATCAGTGGTCAAGATAGGACCTGATGCCTTAGGCAGATCTCGTATCTGGAAATGGCCTTGAGAGCGAGCCCTCCTGGCACCCTGCATGATCTTTCTCTGTATTTCTTATCTTTCCTGTTTTCAGCTGACTGCTCACCAAGAAATCAAAGTATGTCCTTGGCTCGGCCCCACCGTTCTTTAAGCAGTCCTTGAGGAACTGAAGCATGCCCCACGCCACATGAGCCTTAGAAACTTTATTAATAATAAAACAGAAGAATAAAAGACTATATAGACAAAAGCTAGACCCAGGACTCTGAGAACTAGTCCCCCACGGTAGAATATGGTTAGTGGTGTGAGACAGAATTCTAAGAGACAAAACTAAAAGTCCTTGCCAACACCTTGAGCACGTAGAAGGAGTTCTATTTTGATTATGCTTAGCCTTGATTTATGTCTGGAACCCTGAATGGGGTGATGCAGTGAGCCTGCCAAGTTCTTTGATCTGTTTTGTACATAAACTGAAGCTTTGCAGAAGTAAAATTGCAGCAGATTTTCACTACCAGTGTGTCTGTCTGTCATTCCCTTGCGTCGTATCCTGGCTATCCTATCCTTCACCCTGGTCCCCCGTGGGTGGTGGTCTCCGAGAGGGACGGTCCGCGGCAGTGAGACTTCTGATCAGTACTTCTGACTGTGGAACCACTGCTCCAAGGATCTTCCCTTGCGTTCTCTAAGCTGCATGTTCAATGGCGTGATTAATGTACTCCATGTAAAGATCAGGGTAGCAGAGTCTCGGAGTGAGATTGACTCTTTCAAGAAGACGTCTGAGAGTCTCGGCATTGCTGGCTTCAGAGTGGGAGTCACAGAGGCAACACACTGTGCTATGGGGCCTGCTTCTGTTCCGTCTTTCTCCTCGCCTAAGATGGCGTCGGGGAAACTGCTGCGTTGCATTGTGTACCACTGAGACGGGAAAACAGGCTGTCCGTTAAACTAGCTGCCCTGTTTATAATAAGATGCACCAAGTTGAGAGATGTTAAAATGAGAATCATGAAATATCATTGCATACATATTATTTGGGGAGTCCCTTTATAAAGAGCTTAAATCAGTCAGGTGGTGGTGGCACATGCTTTTAGTGTCAGTACTGGGCAGGCGGGTCTCTGAGTTCAAGGTCAGCCTGGTGTGGGGTTCCAGGACAGCCAGGGAAACACAGAGAAACCCTGTCTCAAGAAAACAAAAACAAACGAAAAAGAGCTTAAACCAAGAATCTACACATAGCAATAGCTCAACCAGCGTTAAATATAAAGATGAAGTGTTCAAAGATCTCATACTTCAGGTTCGATCTTGAGAGAAGGCTGTATTCAGGCGGAATTCGTTTTCTTGAGGCAGAGCAAAGAAGTCAAGATTGACTCAACGAGCTGGTTATGAGGAGACTGGGAGTGGAGAAGATTGGAAGGGGGTGTGAATGCACCATTCATGCCCGAGGGAAGGCCGACAGGTCTGCTCGCTGTCTAGGGCAAGATGAGAGATCTAGAACCCCTGCATGTTGGAAACCTAGTAGGTAAAGTCTGGGTGAGAAAAGTCATTGAAAACAAAGATTTGAGCTGGTAGCATAAGGAAGGTGTGAACTGGCAGCATGACCTCAGGGGACATGGTGCTCACTGTCTGAGTAAGATAGAGTGTCTGTGTCATCAATGGTTTTGGTATGATGGGGAGGTGGTACCAACAGAAAAGAAAGAGAGAGGCTGCCATGGCAACTCCATCCCCAGAGAAGCTAGAGAGCCAACATGCCCTGGCTTCCTTCTTGCCCACTTCTAGCATCCCTTCTCATCTGTATTTGATGCTACAGTTTCTAATATTATTATTGGTGAGGACCTGCTGTCCAGAGGGAGGAGCTAAGATCCCAGCCTTTCACAGTGAGTGGAGTCCATCAGTCAGAGGAAGAAGGACATGACAGGGGACAGCAAGGTGGAGTACTCCACCTTTCTATTAAATGAAGACGGTGCCAGCGGTAGCCCTAGCTGAGTTGAGGGTTCGTACTGCAGAAGACAGCCTCCTGTCTCAGAAACTAGAGCCCAGCCTTGGCCTTTGGGGCAGCAGACTTGCTGTGGATGGGTGTAGAGGGAAGAGAAGACCAGGCTCAACTGTTGCACAGCTGTATTGAAAGGGGCAGTCATGGTAACAAGGCTGGCCGCAAAGCCTGTGGCTTCTGCTTTTTTTTAACATCTTACCAGGAGATTTCACAGTTAGGAAGGCTCAGTGCGGAAATCAGAAAGCCATCTACACTTTCTGTTGGCTGGCCCCACAGCTGACCGGGTTCAGGTACCATAAACTGATACACATCATGTGCGACACAGACCCGGCTCTCTCCATCTCTCTCCCACCCTCCTCCCTCTCTCTCCTCCTCCCTTCCTCTGTCTCTTTCTCCTATAACAGAAAGGCACAGAATTCACGAAGAAAGCGTTAGTTTTGGGGAAATCAAGATTTTCATTCAGAGCCTTTGGTGTCTGTAGCAGGTGAATCTTTTTCAGAATAAGAGCAAATACATAACTCACAGTGGGCAAAACCACTTCAAAACAAAATGACTAGACTCAAACCCTATCTCAGGAAACGCCAGAAAGTTTGTTTTCTCTACAAACAATTGCCATCAGGTTTACACAGTAAGAGTCATGATTCTCAAGCCTTAGGTTGGCTTTGACGTGTGAAGGTCAGAAAATGGCAGCTTCCTCTCCCTTGAAGCTTCTGACTAACTGGGCAGTTTTCAGACCCTCTGTGCAAGACACTCTGTGATGGTCAAAGACAGACTTTGACTACAAGCACCTTGTTTCAGTCAAGGCTAAGCGGCCCTTGTTTGCTCTTCGATAGGCTGACATCCATGGTTTGATCGATTTCTTTGGGCTTTAACCAAAGACGTGCACATGGCACACGCCCTGGGCAGGCTGCCTTCTTTAGTGCGGTAACAGGACTCTACTTCGTGGGTTTCTTTTTGCAGGATGTTTCTTGACCTGAAACACTAGTGTTCTGGCCTGGAGTTTACTGTGTCACTCAGTTCTGCCTCATGCTTACAGCAATCCTCCTGCTTCTGCCTCCTAAGTACTGGGATTTTAAGTGTGAGTCACTATGCCCAACTAATCGTTGGACTTCCTGGGAGTCCATCCTATTTTTGTCTCTCTGCCCACCACTCCAGTGATGTATGTACTTACTGGAAAACCCCACAAAAGGTTTGGGGGGGGGTAAATTAAAATTCAGGTGAAGTGCTGGAGTAGTAGCTCAGAGGTTGAGAGTACTTGCCACTTTTGCAGAAGACCCTGGTTCATCCTCAGCACCCACACAGTACCTGACAACCATCCCTAACTCCAGCTCCCAGGGATCTGACGTTCTCTTTTGACCTCCATGGTCACTTGACATGCACATGGTGCACTTACACACATGCACGCAAAACATCCATACCCATAAAATAAAAATAAATAAACCTTAAAATTCAGTGAATTTACCCCCTTCTCAACAACTCTCTTGTCTCAGTGGCTTTATGACTGTTATAGTTTCCACCTTAAATGTTGTCCAGAGGCCCAGTTATCAAGGCCTTGGCCCCTGACCTGCTGGGTTGCTGGGGCTTGTGGGAGGTCTTCAGGTCAAGGGGGGGGGGGGATTATGTCCTTGAAGGTAATAGTGGAACCCTGGCTCCTTCCCCATCTCTTTCTTTGCTTCCTGACTCTGCGGTGGGAAGCTACTCTGCATGCTCCCACCGGAACACACTCCCTCATTATAATGGGGCCAATTGATCACAGACTGGAACCACCAAAACCATGAGCTCAAACGAACATTTTCTCATTATAAATTGGTCACCTCAGGTGTCTGTTACCGGGACAGGAGGCTAGCTGACATGTGAGCCCTCTTAGATGTCTTTGGTCCCCCCACGTGTCTGGCTGCTCTCTCACAAAATCTCAAACTATCCCAAAAGAGAGTGATTGAAAGCAACCATTTATTTCGCTCTTGGGTTTGTGGGCTATAAGGACAGAAGGACTTGGCTAAGTGGCTTACCTCTGATCTATATGTCATCAGCTGGATAGGTGGGGGAGGAGGGTCATTTTCACTCACACTGTCTGGACCCTGTACTTGATCTCTTTACCTCCACTGCGTCTCATTGTTCAGAGTCTCTCCTGGGAGTCTGGGTTTCTCACAGTTCATTCTTTCAGGCTAGTCTTACACGGAGGTGGGGTTCTCAGAGTCGGGGTAGATGGGATGAGGCAAACTGTGTACTGTCATTGTAACTGGCACAGTGTAACGTCCATATTCTAGTGCTCAGAGTAGGTATGATGATCCAGGTAAGAAGACAGATGAAAATAGAACCATGTATGCAAACACAGATGATCTGCGCACCTATGCAATCCGTCACTGAGTCTTATCCGTGCAACCTTGGAAAAATTGTTAAAACTCACTTTAGTGGGGCAAAAGGGACAGTTCAGTGGTTAAGGACTCTTGCTGCTCTCCGAGAGACCAGAGTTCAGTTTCCAGCACCCACAGGGAATGTCTCACAGCAGTTTGAGGGTGTCTGGTGCCTCTCTCCAGCTTCCTTGAGCTTCTGTGATTGCATACACACACATGCACCCACACGCAGACACCTATGCATGATTATTAATAAATTGATAAAAACAAATCTTTAAGGTTCATTTAGATGTTACTGATACTTTGTTCCAGTTTATATTTCTAAGTGTCTTTTCTCTTCCTGATGTTACTTTCCTATAGATAAGCCAGGACACCCGGGAAGACGCCATCTGACTCATTAGCCGCTTTCAGTTTCTTCCTCGCTGCCCATCCAGCTTTGAACAGAAAGACTGTCAGTCAAGCGGGCACGCAGCTTCTGTCTTGGTGATTCCAAGATGCCTTGAGACAACTATACAAAAGCTTGTGGCTGATTGCCCAGACTCCTGAAAGTACAGCCCAAGGCAAGACTGTTTGAGACAGGTTTGTATCCGGCTTTTGTAGCCACAAACCTCAACAAACCGTTTCCACCTTGGCCAGAGAGGGAGCGGTACCCACAGTAGGAGGGCCAATGGCAAAGTAGTGATAGAGGCAAGACGGTGCAAGACGGTGATGGGGATAGAGAGGACTGACTGGGGACAGGAACAAGGCTGATGGAACAGAGACGACTAATATTGATGCTAGAGGGGAGACTATGGTGGCCAAACACACGCTTGGAGGAACTGCGCAGGAAGTGACCTGGATGTTTCCTCTCTGAGGACTGGCTCTCACGTGTCAGAAGGTGCTATGGAAGCCAACAAGGGAGAAGAGCACCCAACAGGTCTCACCCAACCGGAAAGCCTATGACCAACCTGGCACGACGCCCCTAAGAGCGCGACACTGGCACCTTAAACCCTGAGGGTAACCAGAACTCACCAGACTGGACTTAGGGGCTCTCTCCAGAGCAGGGAATTCGTGTTTGGTTGTGACCCTAGACATCTACCAATTCCTGGTGAGGCCACAAATCCTAAAGAAGAACCTACAAATTCCACCTTGCTGAACTAGTATAATTTCTAACGGCGTCATGAATACAAACAAGGATAGTTCTCCCCCTACATCAAAAATGTTCTGTCTACACCAGACAAAGACCATTATAAAAATCCACAACTCGTCGAAATGTAGCAAACACTAACTGTGGGGTATTCAAGCCCAGGTGTATGTATGTATATATATATACATATATATGTATATATATATTCATAATAACCCTTATATTTCCCACTTCAGGAACATTCCCGAAGAGAAGGTGGGGAAACTGCTAGCGTCAGAGAACCAGGCTGTCTGCCGCAAGACAGTGTCTTCTAGACATGAGAGAGAAGCTCCACTAGTGAAATCTTACCCGTATGGTCACCTAGACAAAATGAGCAATGACAACACCAGTTGACATGTCAACATGGATGAGGGAAATCTCGCAAGGCCCCAGTCCTGGATGAAGATCTATAGGCAATTAAAGGCAGCTGAGAGCGAGAGAGAGAATTGGTCTTCCCTGGGATGAGCCAGTCCCTGGTGGTTAGCTCCCCATATGCACAGACGTATGAACAACACTAAACGCACTCAACGGATTGTATGTATACATGTAAAGAACCATTACTAGGTAACAGTTGTATGTATACATGTAAAGAACCATTACTAGGTAACAGTTGTGTGTGTGCATGTGTGTGTGTGTGTGTTGTGTGTATGGTTTATTTTAAAATGTCACAAATAAAACAGCCGATCATAAAGACAGCTTTAGGTTCTCAAGCATGGGTTCTCAGATCATCTTTTCTGCCCACAAAGTACAAGCAGACGTTAAGGAAGAAATGAAGCCTCCGAGATGAAACCTGTCCTCTGTAGGAGGGGGTAGGAGCAGCCTCCCCCTCCCCCTGCCCAGGCCTCTCTCTCTCTGCACACTTCCCCTGCTTTGCCAGCTACCACAGCCAGGTGGTCGGACAGCTGCTCAGCCCTCTTCCTCTGCTTCTTCTAGCTCTGCATGTCTAGAGACCCGTCACGCTTCCTGCGCTAATCAGAGACCTCTTAGAGTCCAGCCAGCTCCCTGCACATGGTGCCTGACTATTTGGTCCAGAGATTTAAGGCAAAGCCTCTGTTTAGGTTTGACCCTGAGCCCCAGCTGCAGCCTGGATTCTGGGGGCATCTCCCTAAGCACGAATGGGAAGCGGCTCACGTTACTAAAACGTGACTTGGAGTCTCATTGATTAGAGTTTCCCATACATAGCTCTGCAGAAAGAACTGGGGTGAATAAGGATGGGGTGACTGGAGGAGGGCAACTTCTCCACCCCTGTAGCCTCACCACCCTGCAGATATTATTGACACATTGTAGAAATTCCCCTTTGGTTTCTATCTCACAATTGGAAACTAGAAAAAACCCTACATATTATTTATTTAGACAATACGACCTGTGCATGTAAATAGGACACTGTCTTCTTAGTGTGCATGTGTTCATGTGTTTGTGCATGCTCCTTCGTATGCAGGTGCATGTATGTTCATGCAGGTACATCCTCCATTCCTCCATTGTCATTTCTCAGATGTTGCCAATCTTTTGTTCTTGCTTTGTTTGCTTGTTTTTTGAGACCAGGTCTCTCTCTATAGCCCTGACTGACCTGGGACACCTTATATAGACCAGGCTGGCCTTGAACTCACAGAGATCTGCTTACCTCCCTAGGGCTGAAATTAAAGACGCGAGACAACCATGCCCAACGCTTTCTTAATAACTTCATCTCTTTTGTAGGAAAATGCTAAAATATCAAGAAAGTTATACTTCCAAGATAAAATTGGGTTTGAAGCAGGAAAAGCCAAGATCCATCTATTGAAGGATTTGAGGAATTCCTTCCATGTGTGTGTGTGTGTGTGTGTGTGTGTGTGTGTGTGTGTGTATGGTGTTCCTGTGTGTGCATGTTTGTGTGGAGGCCAGAGGATAATCGCAGGTGTTATACTTCAGGTACTGGTCATCTGTTTTATTTTTGTTTTATCTATTTTTGCAAGATGGGATTCATCACCTAGCACTTGTCAGGTAGGACAGGCCATCTCCAGGGCCACATGTCTCCTCCCCAAGACTGGGATTACAATGAACCTGTCACCACACTGGCTTTTTCGTGTTTTCTGGAGGTGGAGCTTTCTTCCTTCTCGTACAACATCTGCTTTACCGACTATGTCACATCTCCAATCCCTTCTCTACCATTTTAATGAAATGACTGACGTCTAGGGGGTCTGTGTTTTTTACATAGTACAGTTTTAAAGGAGAGAGAGAGACAGGATCTCACTAAACAGTCCAGATTGGCCTGAAACTTGAGATTCTCCTGCCTCAGCATCCTAAGACGAGGATTGCCTACAAAAAAGGTAAAGTCTTAAGGGTTTCTGATCCAATGTGGGCCAGAAGCGAGGGAGTCTCTGAGTGAACCGAGGAGCATTGACGTGGCAGCTGTGATTCTGGGACAAGAGTCTCTGTGAGCCGGAGAAGCGCGCGGCACCGCGGTGTGAAAGTGGGTTACCTGGTGAGACTGTGAAAGTCTTTTTGTCTTTGCTTCAGTTTGTATCACTCACAATCACCTCAGCCAAGGGCGAGTGAAACAGAGCTCTAACCATTTTAGGTAGGAAATGGAAAATTTCAACAAGCTAACAGAAATAAGTCAAGATCAGGGTTCAGGGAGGGCAGGGACTTCTCTCACCTTCTCTCACTTCTCCTCCCTTTACTATATCTGAATCTCCTCACTCAAAAAGGAAAGACAAGCACCCAAGCCCTCCCGGCCTTCCTCTCTCTGCTTCAGAACCAGGAGGTGGATGTATCCTCCATCTGGTTCCAACTTGTGAAACCCCCCAGGGAGACGATGATTGACGTCGGTAGCCGGCTCTCTGCCTCGCTGCCTTGGCAGCCGAGCTACCAGGAAAATGACGGGCAGCAGCAGCAGAGAAACAAGTGGACGAAACGAGCTGAAACCGGGAATGTGGGGGACAGGCTGGGCGAAGATGACATTAATGCAACCTAGTTTCAGAGGCCTGTCACAGGCTCGGAGGGCCGGGAAGCACTGCTCAGGGGCTAGGAAGGAGAATGCAAGGGTCAGACTAGATTTGAATATTGGTTTCACTACTGAGTGGTTGTGTGACTGCGTAAATGATTGCTATGTTAGAGGCCTCAGTTTCCCCAAGCAAGATCAATACCTAGTTTATAAGGCTCGTTAGTAATACTAAAATATTCTGCATCGTGTTTGCTAACTACTGGCCAATACTTCCAGCCACTTAAAAAGGTGCTTTGAAATGAACTTTCACTACCTTTGTGGTTAGAACTAATGCTTTGTTTTGTTTTGTTTTGTTTTTTAAACATTCATGTCAGTTAACCAGTGTGCTTCTCCCGTAAACACATCAAGTATCTCAACCGCACACATCTCAGTGGGAGGAAGACCGTGGAGTGGCCACACTTGTTCTGGTCCACAAGATCTTAGCTCTGAAAGAATGTCATCAGAAATGGCCCAAGAGCTGCCAGACTGAGGCAGCTGGGAGCTGGTGACAGCTGTGTTCAGAGAGCACAGCGCCCGTCTAATGACCTCCAGACCACAACCGTGACCGTGGTATCGCTCTCATTCGTTACCGGTACCCCACCCAGAGATGGGGGCGCTCAAGGAGGGGTTTGCTTCTCTCTCTGAACCTTACAGTTGAAATCCATTGTCTCTTTCCAAGGCTTATCAGACAAGGACTGGAACACGTCCTTTATCTTAGAGAATATTCTTGAAGACAGAAGCTTTGCACGCTCGTTTTCTTTTCCCAAAGAATTGTTGAATTAAGCCGAGCTGGTGGCACCTGCCTTCAATCCCAGCACTCGGGAGGCAGAGGCAGGTGGATCTCTGAGTTCCAGGACAGCCAGGGCTACACAGAGAAATCCTGTCTCAAAAACCAAAGCAACAACAACAAAAGGATTGTCTTAATGTATTCAATTATTTTATATGTATCTCTGTATGCTTGTGAGAGTTATGTGTAGGACATGTGTGCAGGGACCCTCAGAGGTCAGGAACCTTCAGAACCCCCGGAACTAAAGTCACTGGTGGTTGTGGGCCTCCTGATACGGACGATGTGAGCTGAAGAGCGTAGTTATGAGCATTGACTGCTCTTAACTGCTGCGCCATCTCTCCAGCCCCATGAGCTTGTTTTTTGTTTTATCTGCAGTTTTAGAGCCGCCCCCATCTTCAAGATGAGTGATGCTCTGGTGATCTAAATGGAATCCAGAACAAGAAAAAAGTTTGTGGGTAAATATTGCTTCCTTTTTAATTCACAGAATAAACTTTAATGTTTTGTATAAAAATCCAATTTTTATAACATCTCTCTTTTTATTCCTTTTTTGGGTTAGCATATAAAATATAATGAATTTGGCCACTGAGTCTTCATGCATATATATGAAGTCTTCATATATATATAAATATTGTGCTTTGTTCTTGTTTATGTTTGACATATTTCAAGGTATTGATGCAAGGTAGATTTCTTTTTTATTTTTTTCCAACGATGGTTACATAGTATCTTAGAGTTTTTATTGCTGTGAAGAAACACCATGACCTTGGCCCCTCCTAAAGAAAACATTTCACTGTGGTGACTCACTTACAGTTTCAAGGTTCAGTCCATTATGACCATGAAGGAGAGCATGGTGGCATGCAGGCAGACGTGGTGCTGGAGCTGAGAGTGCTCCATCTTGACCAGAAGGCGGCAGGAAGTCAACTGACTCTCACACTGAGGGAAGCTTGAGTAAAAGAGATCTCAAAGCCCGCCCCCACAGTGACACACTTCCTCCAACAAGGCCACACCTCCTAACAGTGCCACTCTGTTTGGGGGCCATTTTCTTTCAAACAACACACACACACACACACATATACATATACATATATATATATACACACATGCATACACACACGTACACACACGCATGCACACACACACACATCAAGCTCTAGTTATAAAAGTATACAAATAAATTTTATTCAACAGATACTGATTGTATCCCAATAAATTATTCAGATCTGGGTCACCGTCCAAAATTTGGACCTCCAAAGATGAAAGTCTTTTTGGATAACCTGTTGTGCTTCAATGCAATGTTAAAAAATCGGGGAAGGATGCAGTGTTAAATCCCTGTCTGGAATCTGTTTCATTACTAACTAATGCTACACCTTGGATGGAGGGCTCACTTTTAGTAGCTGCTATAGCCTAGCAGAGCAGTTCTAGAACCCATGTACGTTATCTGATGTTATTGTTTTAATATTAATTATCTTACGGGCATGGCTGATGAGAAGAAAGAACAGGTAGACATAGAGTAATCGAAATAACTGGCTGGCTTAACTTGGGTTCATAAACGAAAGCCAGTAGGCAGCCGTTGACTCACTCCTCGGCTATGGGACTCACATCACTCTACGGATGTTTGTGACGAACTTACATTTGAGTCTGCCCTGGAGAAAGCTGGCCCGGTGCATCTGTTCCCTGGGGGCTGAAGGCTGCAAAATGTGTGTGTGCACGTGCGTGTGTGTGTGTGTGTGTGTGTGTGTGTAAGAGAGAGTGGGGAAGAACATGGAAAGGAGGGATCGGCACACTCCATGGGAAGCTAATCCTAAGGGGATGAAGGGTATGAGTTGCACAAAACATACCTCATGTGTTTTATTGTTTCTCCTAAACTTAGGCCCCACATACACGAGGCAGCTCAAGCTCCTGCCCTCAGCCTCTGTGATGCAAGGAAAGCAATGCTAGGGCCTAGTCTGGAAGCAAACCTGTGCCCATCGGGGGCCCAGGCTGACGGTGGGTCACGGGGAGCATTAGAAGAGCAGAAGGAAAAAGCGAGTTCCGAAAGCTGCCCCCACTCTGCTTCCACGTGAACCCCACATTTCTAAGAGCTTCCCACATTATGCAGCTTACGCACAGCGCCATAATAGAGTCCTTTTCTGCTTGCGTACAGGCCTCCAACACGTTTCCCAGCCAATGTCTTTATTTATCTCCCAGTAAAGGGAAGACACTGGCGTTTGGTGTCAGAAGTGGAATTTGAACACACTGCTGGTTCAGAAGAGCGTGGTCTTGCCACTAGACCATGCTAACTGCCTCAGGGAAAAATTAAAACATGTATTTTTCACAAACTCACTCGGCATCTTCATCACAGACCCGCGAATCGAAGGGAAAATCAAACAGAAAAGGATCGGCCATAACAGGATGTGCTGAGCTCGGAGGAGCTCTCGGGTTATCTTCCACGCCGACATCTGTTCCCAGTCTGCCTGTTTACAAGTCAGGAAATGAAGCAAAAGGGAAGACGCTGAACAAGGGAACTTGAGACTTTTCTCTGAGCGGTGTGGTTTGCTCAAATTTTATCATCAGCAACAGAGACGTGCTAAGGTTTTAGATAAGACAATCCTGTAGTGACAGAAGTGTAGTCCTGGGCGCCAGCCACCGGGAAGGCAGCCACCCCCTTCGAGCTGGCTCTAAGGCAGCGACTCCCAACCTTCCTAAGGCTGCCACCCTCTAACACAGGCCCTCCTGTGGTGGTGACCCCAACCATAAAATTATTGTGGTTGCTACTCCATAACTGTAGTTTTGCTACTGTTATGAATCACAATGTAAATGTCTGATATGTGACCCCGTGAAAGGGTCTTTTGACCCCCAAAGAAGTCATGACCCATAGGCTGAGAGCCATTGCTCTAAGGGCTCCTGAGTGAACCTGTTGGTTTATAGCTCTACCAAGCTGCTTAAAGGGGGAAATGCCTGGCTGAAATCCCAGCTTGACTGTGTCTTTCCACTGAGCTCTCCGGGGAAGCCGAGACATCTGGAGGACCAACAGTCAAGCGTTCATTTGCTGAACTTGTCAGAAGTTATTCTAGACTTCTCCGAGGCCTCTCTTGGCCTTGACACTAATGCCTTAAATATTTCAAAAAGCCCCCTTCCCCAGTCTCAGTTGGCACTACCAGAATGTTCCACCAAAATCAAACTTGACCTTTTCATGGTCACACAGATAGTGATTCAAAAGAAAACCTAGGGCCGGAAAGATGGCTTAGTATGTAAAGTATTGTTTTGAAAGCATCAAGACCCGAGCTCCACCGCCAGAATTCAGGCGTGGTCAGAGGTGAAGACCAGACACAGCAGCTTCACCAGAGTGATACTAGCAGCAAGATTCTCAGCAGCAAACCCAGCCGCTCTGGGTGACAGGTGAGACAGTGGGCACAACCCAGGTAAGCACTCTCCAGAGGCTTAGCTGGAAAGAAGAGAAAAATTATCAAGATAGAAGCACAGAGGGGTGGGAAGGCTGGGACGATGGCTCAGGCAAGGGCTTGCCACCTAAGCATGAAGACCCTACGTCAACTCCTGGTGTTCCTCATCTTTTTATAAAAAGCCACGGGGGCAGAGGGACTGGAGAGATGGCTCAGCAGTGAAGGGTATTGGCTACTACTCTCCCAGAGGACCCAGTTTCAATTCCCAGCACCCATGTGGTAATAAACATCCGCCTATAGCTCCAGTTCCAAGAGATTCAACTCACTCCTCTGGCCTCTATGGGCAGCTCACAGACACACACACACAGGCAAGACAACCATACACATAGCTAAGACAATAAAAATTTAAGCCATAAAAAGTTAGTGCCTCACTATAATCCCAATGATAAGGAGGTAGAGACAGTAGAAGCCCTGGGGGTCACTGGTCAGTGAACCCAGTTAATATGAACCCCAGGTCCCAGGGAGAGACCTGGGGTATAGCTCTTAAAGAATGACCCCCCCAAAAAGGTGATCTCTGGCCTCCTCACACACATGGGCGCATGTGCACATGTCCCTGCACATATGTGTCTCACATACAAACATACACACAAAAGAGAAATGTGGAGTCTAAGGAAGATTGTTCTGGGTTTCTTGGATCCTGAGCTTTGGAGGCCTGCTTGTCTTCCTTTTGGAAAAAAACTCTTCCTGAGAGGGACCATTAAGACTCAGGTGAAGCTGGGCCATGGTGACACAGGCCTTTAATCCCAGCAGAGGTAGGCGAATCTCTG